TTGACTGTTTTGTATATTTATAAAATTTTATTGAATTTCAAAATGTCATGTTTCTGGTATGTCACAAACAATATTTCCAATAATAACTAGCCTCAAAACTTCGCATAAATTTTTCAATATCTATTTTATTTTAATCTCAACCATTGTAAGCATTTCTAGAATATACGCAGAGGGTATTATTTACAAAAACTTCATTTAAAATAATTTTTTCTGTCAATAATTTGTTTGTCACATGAAAATCTGTCATTTTCCTAGCTACTTTTATTTAGTGATTTATAATCAAAATACATAGCCCCAGCAATCAATATCTTATGCTAATAGATTGATTAGATACCATCTTATCTGAACATGTCTTGTTGCATGATTAAAGAACCAACTTTCTGGTTCAAAATCTATTTCAAAAAATTTTTTCAAGGTGAGTAGGTTTTTATGTTGTCATTTTCCTGTCTTCTTGAAATCATTAATAACATAAACGACATAGATTTATCTGAGTTATTTCAAGAAATCCTGTTGTTTTCTGCGAAATGTAAACGTTTTAGGCCAAAATGTTAAATGAAAGTAAAGTTAAATGCTATAAAATGGCAAATTTGTCATTATCCTGGCTTATGAATGCCCGGATATGTGTTACCAGAAATTTTTTTAAACAGTATACTGTAAGGAGGGAAAGCAAATATTAACTTTATACCAAGATTATGTATGATTGTAATATGCTTGAATGTAATCAAAGTTATTTATTTATTTAATGATTGATTATTATACGCAATTTTATTCTGTACATATCAGCATCAAAAACATTTTTGATTCTTTCTACAGTGGATAAAAAGAATTAATTTAAGCAATTCATGGTCCATCTAACATAAAGGCTTAAGTTGAGTTACTTACTATTAACTTAAAATGACTGTTTTTTAAACTTCTAAGCTAATATGTCATTTTCCTGCCATTCAAGATTAGGTGACTTTCTGTTTTTTTTTGATCAAACGTCAATAAACTACACTGCTATCTGTAAGATATTAATAAATACAACTAAATAAGCATATAAAAAAATTTAGATTATTTTGAAGACTTTAAATTTGAAGAATTTTTTTTGGTCCGCATGGTCATGTTTCCAAAGAATCACCCATGTATTTTAGAGGGATAGACCATATGTGCCTCCCTATAGGCCCCTGATACTACATCTATAGTGACCCATCTTTAACAATTAAGAACATGTTTTTTTGGCATGTTCACTGCTTCTAAAGACGCAGATAATATTGAGGTGGTTTTAATACAAATAATAAAATATTTATGACTAAAATAAAATAATTTTAACTTTTCCACCACGTCAGACATTAAATGTAGCATTTAATAGTTTATTTACTTAAATTCTAAAATATGAATAATTAATATGAAGTAACAAATCAAAGTAAATTTTTCTTTTAAATTTACAAAAAGTATACTTTTCTTTAAATTTACGAAAAGTATACTACCCGGTGGCTGAGCGGTAGCGCTTCGCGCTGTCGTGCCACAGGTCCTTGGTTCGATCCTTGGGCCGGGCAAGGCCGACTCAGCCTTTCATCCCTTCAGGCTTCTGGCTTCCCTTCCCTTCAGGCTTCCCTTCAGCCCTTCAGGCATCCTTTCACCCTTCAGTGGGTCGATAAAATGAGTACCAAGCAAGCTTGGGAACTAACACTGGGGGTTCCGCGTTCGGCTGACCACCTGACCGGAACATATGCTCCTGCACCCCAGAGCCCAAGGTCAAGAAAACTGAGATGGGCACAGTCGGCCTTGGCCCTCTTAATGGGCTGTCGCGCCACTGAGTTAGTTAGTTTTCCATTAGCATGATCTAACAGAAAATATTGCTATAATAAATTTCAACACGTTTTATCATGTGCTCGCAAATAAGCGTGCCATGTCATAAAATATGATGACTTCTCAGGTTGGAACTGGGCTGAAAGTTATAAATTGCGATTGTAAAATAACTTTGCTGACACTCTGGAGAGCATACTGTTTGAGTGAACGGATGTTTTTTTAATAAAAAATATGTTTTTAGGGATTTAAAATACAACTTTCAATAAAGAAATGACTTTTTACATCACTTACATTAAAAAGATAATCAGAAATTGTTTTGTCAAACCATTTAACAGTTTTATGTTGTTGTTTTTTAACTAAAAAAAGTGGTTTAAAATGAAACTTTGAATAGGTAATTGACTTCTTAAGACATTTATATTTCAGAAATAGTTCTGTTAAACCACCTAACTGTTTTATGTTTTTTTTAATAAATATATAGTTTGAAGGATTTAAAAAACGACATTAACTAAGTTCTGAAATTTTGAAATCACCGATCCACAAAATTGAATTTTTTATTCTTTAAATAAATTTGAATAGTTGTTTGTTATAGAACAAATTTATTGCGATTGTGATAAAGACTTATTTCTTGCAAAAGGCAAGGTTTTTTGTTATACGAAACTAAAATATTTTTACTATTGTTAAAATATTAATTTTATTTAATTTGTGCACCCGTATTAATCCAAATCAAATTATTAATTGTTATTTTTAATGGTGTTTTTATGAAGATCAATAAAAGTACTACATACATATACATTTATACTAAAAAGAAGGTATACGAAGTCTAACTCGCAAACAGTACAGTTTTTTATTATGAAACATCATTTCCGTTTCACATCAGTAGTTGAGATAGATATAGGTAAATTATGGAAGATGTAAGTTTTGGCAAAAAAGTTTTAAAGAATCAGAGGAATTTTTTCCATTGTGAGAAAAATAATATAATTATAAAAATCCCGTTTGTAGTACCAATGGAAAAGAATTAATTTCAAACGATTTTTCGTTCTATTTCAGATAATAAATTGCGACAATTAAAATACTCGTAAAATGAAGAATTGTGCTTTTGAATTCAATACTCATAACAATAGAATTTTTATTCCAAGTCTATAAATAAACCGTTTAAATTTAGCCCTTAAACGTAATATTAGTTTCCGATTAAGAAAAAAAGTGGTTGTTTTTCAAAAGCTCTGTCGTAATATGAAATATTTTACGAATAATAGGCTATTTTCATAGCTGCTGTGAGTTTGCAACTGTTACTCATGACTGTTAGATGTTTAGCTTATCTAACGCCAGCGCTTATTTTGAAAATGGCGCAAAATGCCAATGTGGAGAAAAGTCACAATTTTTCAAAAATGAAAAGTGCTTGAGGTCTAAATTTTTAATATTTAGAAACTTACTCCAATACTGCACTACCTGCAAAAACTGAGAATAAGGCAGTGATTTTGATAATTTTCATCCAGGTGGAAAAATGTCGCTAAATTGGCGATTTTCGAAAAAGTATAACTTTTAAAATATTTAAGTCATTTGTCCATTCTAAAGCCCAGATAATTCTTCAAGGCAAGATTATTTATTATATATTCATTTGGTTTGGTGATATATTCATGTATTTCATTATATATTCATTTGGTTCCGCTTTTGCTATTTTGAATACGCAGTTCAAAGAATTTCATGAAAATGCAGAATTTCAGAAATATTTCATTCATGAAATGATTATTTCATTCAAAAAATGATTTTATCAAGTATTAAATTTTTGCATCATCTTAAACAACGTAATTTTAAATGACAGCAAATGTTATTAAAAAGAGTATTTTTATAATTAGAGTTATTAAGCTTTAGATGTTTCAGCTCGCTATCGACACCATAATTTTCAGATATCGGTTCACATTTTGCCAGTCAAATATCTGTTTAAAACAAATGGTATGTTTAGGGAAAGTATGTTTATTTAGATTATCGTCTGCATTAATTAGTTGCGATACTTAAGGAATCATTAAGATATAGCATTGTTGAAAAAAACTGCCGTTAATTAATTTATTTTTTTAATTTTTAGATTATCTCTTAAACTGGAATATTACGTAATTCAGATGAGGAAGTTTTTAATTTCCAATAAAATTGTAATTACAATTTGAGAAACCTTAAATTTTTAACTACAAACCAATTAGGTTACAGAATTACGAACTTTACTATAAAAAGCATATTGAAAAATACAATTGGTTTAACCATCGTTATTTGGAATTTTTAATTGCAATGAAAAAGAAGAAAAAAAAGAAATGTCGGAAATTCGATTGAAGTAGCAGTGTTTTAGATAGTATTAAGGCATATATCTTATTTTTTGAAACCCGCAAATTTTGTGAATTTTGAAGTGGGAAAAAGTGAATTATAGAAATATCCTGCAATATGTAAGAAAATATTACAAATTAAAAGAAATCATTTTTATGAAATAATTAAAAAAAATTAATTGATATTTTGTTTGAATAAAAACAGCTTTAAAGTAAGTAACTTACCATTTTTATCACATTAGAGATCCATATAAATAAAAGAACTCTACGGTATCTTTAATTTTTAAGGGCAGTGGGATAACTATCCTACTATTTTCTGACAAATATATAAACCATTAAAATTGTAACTTTTTTTCATTATTTGAAAATATTAAATTATAATGATTGAAAAAAATGAAAAAAAAAATCCCATAATACAGCCCTAAAACTTCATAATAATAATATTTTCTCACAAACTTTTGCTTAAATTTGATATTTTTAATTAAGTTCTTAGTGAATTCAATTAACTAATAACTTCAAGAAAAAAAAATTTCTATAGACATTATTTACAAAACAAATTTTGGTTAAAAATTCAAAATCTTTAATTTTGAAGAAGGTTGACAACTACCTCACTTATTTTTGACAAATATATAAAGAAGTCAAATAATAACTTTGTTTTCATAATTGATAAACAATAAGTTATAATAATTGAAAAAAAAAATGAAATAAAAATTCTTAAAACAATAATATAGTTCTAAAACTTCTTCTTAATAATAATTTTTCCTCACAAACTTTTGCCTGAACTTGACAATTTTGTTAATTAATTAAGTTCTACGCGAGTTCAATTAACTAAAAACTTTAAGAAAAAATTATTTCTATCAACATTTTAATTTTTGGTTAAAACTTTAAAATTTCAATTCTCACCGCAATGGCTGTTTTCATAGCTTTCCCTTGAATAGATATTCCTCCACTTTTCCCTCAGTACGAAGATATCTTTTTACACAGCAAAAGTAAAAAGTTGAGAAGTCAGCGAATCTCAGTACCCACCCCTATTCATGCGCAAACCACGTCACTATGGATACCATCTTCTTCAGTTCTAAGAATCTTTTATCTCTTCATAATTATATTTCCCATTATGCTTCATTCAAATATTTGATTCGAAAAAGAGTTGAAATTTTATCCCTGAAAACGGAACCATTTGCTATGTTTGAAACTTTTTATTAGAAGGTGTATAGCAATAATATTTTTTTAAATTTCTGTCAGGGATGAAATAAAGATAGTTATTAGGGATTAATCTATACCTGTTTCTACCATAACCGGTCAAATGACAGGACTTTATGTTTCTTAATTGAATGTATGAAATATGGATGTTAAGGAAGGAAATAAACTAGCAAAAAACATTTTTATGTATTACAAACACAAAGAATAAGAATTCATTGCTCAACGCATTTTTTACATATACAGGGTGTTTCCATTGTACATTTTTCGCAAACATATTTCTTCTAATTATTATTATTTCTACACTTATTATTATTATAAGAATATATAAGAATTATAATTCGTAATAAATATTTAATATAATTTAATAAGTAATAAATATTTACTAAAAATTATATTTTACGTGAAATTCTCTTTGTATAAAAGAATTTTTTAATTGTATGCAAAAAAAATTTAATTCACTTAAAAAGTTCTGGAGCTATGACGAAGTACGCAAAAAGTAAGACTGACATATTAAAGGGTCTAAACGTTGGATCGCTTTCCTGACCAAACTATTTGGACCATATTTCCTAGATTGTGACTACCCCTTGTATATTGGGAGTCAGAAATCTGAATCCATCGAAAAAAAGGTATGTTTATTCAGAGGAAGTATGTTTTCATGTTCACGTAACTTCAATTATCGTTTGCACTAATTAATCAGCATATTTGGGGTCACTCCCTTGAATCATTAAGATTGAGTCATAGAACGTGACGATCCGATAAATAGATCAAAAGTTATTCAGGATGGTCAGTTTTTTATTTTGCGCACAGTATGTTTATATGTTGTTGTACTTATTAATAAGTTTTAATCCTAGCTTTAACACTAAACATGCCAACACTTAATCTATACCTATTTCTCCCATAGCCGGTCAAATGATCGAAGTTTATGTTTCTTAATTGAATGTATAAAATATGGATGTTAGGAAGGAAATAAACTAAAAATTTTTTATTATAATTAAACAAAATTGTATATGCCAATTTTTATGAATCACAAACACAAAGAATAAGAATTCATTGCTCAACGCATTTTTTACGTATACAAGTTCATTGTACATTTTCAGCAAACATATTTCTTCTAATTATTATTATATCTATAATTCTTATAATTATAAGAATATATAAAAATTATAATTCTTATAATTAATATTATTTCTTCTAAGAACTTGTGCTGTCTTGATAGTTTCGACATTTTTCTGGGTAAAAATTAACAGTAAAGTTAGAAATGAAGTAAAGCTATCAAAATAAAATATAAGCTACTAACCAAAACATTTAGTTTTTGTCACTTTTCCTTATACAAAAATGCCTAGCTAATATTTTAGGCACTTTTTTGAAATTTGAATTCACAGTTATTCTGATTGAAATAACTACGCAGCAGTCTTTGCAGAAAGGTGCAACTAATTGAATACAATACGCTGAACACGCATTACATTGTAATTTCTGATCCGATAACCTTATAAAGCAATAAATGTTCTCCCGGTAAAATGACCGGCTGTGGTAGGAATAGGTATACGACAAGTATTATTCGAAACAAACAATATACAAAAAAAAAATAATAGTAATGGAATATTAACTGTATATAATTGTTAGAAAAAGTCATGAAGTCAAATGCGTAAAAACGATAAGCGCATTTTCGATGCAAAGCGATAAATACTATCCAAATCACCGGTGAGAAGATGAAAAACTTCGAAATCAGTTTGATTGCTTTATGAAACTTACTTTTAGTAATCACCTTTCAACTCCTCTCTATTCTTTCCAGGAATCAAAATGGTTTTGATGTTTCGTTAGATTTCTATAACATTTTTCATCTCTGAAAAATTTATTTGCGGTCTCCAAACGTTTTTAACCTTAATTTTTAGCATGAAATCTAAAAATTTATACTAAGATCGGTAATAGCGGAACACCTTTCAATTTTTTTAAAGGACTAACTTTTAAATATAGTTAAAAACTATAGCCACATTATATAAATGTTCTGACATTTAATGCATAATTTATTTTAATTCCTTGTAAAAAATTGTATCGATTTAGGCTCACAGATTAATAATTAAGAAAGCGTTTTTAAATTTTGACCAATCACTATTAAGGTAATAAGATTAAAGGAGGGTTTAAAATAAAAAAAGAGTTTATCTGGGTTATGAGGCTTAAAACGCTCCATGCGTTCAGTCATCATCTTTCTATCTGTCATCTGGGGCGAGCTTTAGAGAAAAGAGGGAAACACATAAAAAACTTTTTTTATAATTCACATATGAGAACATTTTTCTAAAAATACAAAGTGCTAATGACCACCTTTAATATAACATATTACAATCTTTCTAAAAAATGAAGACAAAAAATTTAATGATTGAAGGTCGTCGCGAATTAACAATTAAACGGGGAATAAACTAAATCTTTATCTAGATCAGACAAATCATATTCGAAACACCAAAATTGTTTTATTGAAGGAGAAACAGAGACGAATTAAAGTACGGTAATTTGAAACACGTTCACAAATCATAATTTGATTTTTTCATTGAAATTAGTTGTGGAATCGGTGAAAATTAATTCTCACATATTTAGCCCTCTTTTGCATATTTCAAACATTGTACGCCAAATTATTTGTCATTTTTATGATATATTTTCACAATAGTTAAAATGCAAAACTAAACAAACGAATAAAATGTGTTAAACTTATAATGGGTTTTCAGTTTTCTGGCTTAAATCTGCGAGCAAGAACGAATATTATATATCACTGTGTTGATTTTTGACGATTTTTTGGCAACTCGTCGCGACTGGAGAAATGAAAAAAGCAAGCAAAAAGCGACCTCGAATCCGTTAAAAAATAACTGCATCAGCCTTTAATATATTTAAAATCGAGTGCAATAGAAAATAAAGTGTAAAAGATTGGACATTCAACAATGCTGAGCAAACGAAGATTCACGAAGCAATCTGAAAAGAACTGCGCAAGTAATTTCAGGCGAGCAGAGGGAGATGAACCCACAAATGTATTAAACATTGAAAGAAACATATTAAACAAGATTAAAGCAAAATGAGTGAGCGGGTTAAAGTTAGAAGGTCACAAAGCAATCTGAAAAGAACTAGCAATCAGTTCCTGGTGTGGGCGAGCTACGACTGAAACCGCTTATATATTTTACGTGAGGCCGGGATAGCCTGGTTAGTAGGGCACTGGGCCCATGTCCAAGAGTTTGTGGGTTCGATCCCAAGTCAGCCGAAGACTCCCCGCGTTAAATCTGTCGAGTCACAAATTCCTCCATGTTCCCATAACAAATAATGCCTCTGGGGGTACTGATCCAGGAATTTCCTTGTCTTCTGGATTGGCTCAAAATTACAAGGCGACGAGCTGAACATTAGTAGTCGTAAACCCAAAATTGAGTCGGCTGTTCAATGACGGTTGTAAAAAATATATATTACGTAAAGTATAAGAGCTGAATTTAAGAACACTATGGCGAAATGAGTGAAAGAAATAAACGGGGACCAAACCCCTAGTTGAAAAAATGACGTTAACTACTGTAAGAGTACCCCAAAAATATATTAATTTAAAAAAAAAAAAAAAAAGATGGCTTAAAATGTGATTTCAAAGGAACTGATCATCCGATTTCGCCCAAATTTTGTATTTTGCCATGCAAAATTACATTCTTTAAAATGGTGTAAAAATTTTACACCTTACAATTCAAAACTTTTTCAACTATTATTAAATTAAAAAAAGATAATAAGAAACATTTACTAAAAATTATTTTTTTTGCTTGGAATTATCTTAGAATAAACGAATTTTATAATTGCGGACAAAAAATTTTCAAGTCGCGTAAAAAGCTCTCGAGATAGGGTAAATTACGCAAAAAGTAAAATTAACTTAAAAAGGTCGAAATTTTGGACCTTTCTCTTGATCAAACCATTTGGATCATATTTCCTAGATAGTGGTTACTCCCTTTATTTTGAAGATCAGAAATCTAAACTCAAAATAAGGTATGTTTGTTCAGAGAAAGATCGTTTTTGCGTCTGATTTCGTAATTTAAAATATCGTAATTAAATAATTAGCATATTTGAGGTCACCTCCTTGAACCATTAAGATTGAGTCCTAGTAAGTGAAGAGTCTCTTAGCTGTAACCTTAAAATTGAATTTAAGTTTTCAAGAAACTGGAGTTTTGGAAAAATTTCAAGGTCATTAACTGCCTTCGCCAAATTTAGAGAAGCATGAAATTTATTGAAAAAGAAGTTAACTATTGCAGGAACTGATTCAACTTCTACATATTTAATATATGACCTTGAACTTTGAGGCTGATACCTGAATAATTAAATACAGAAATAGTTATGGGAAAGTTGCAAATTGTTTCAAAAAATGTGATTTAGGGCCAATATGAATAGCTGAAGTTAACTCTTGAAGTGAGTTTTAATCTCTATGTAGAATTTACTGAAGAGGAGGGAGCAAAATATACATCATTGCTATTTAGACAAATGATTTAATGTTAATGATGTAATTATTCATGCTGAATCGTATGAAATCATACCCAAGTCGATAGATTCAACAGTTAAGAAGTTTTTTTTATAGATATAGAACGAATTCTGAATTAATTATACTTCTGACATTGCTATTCAGGCACGTGAGGTATTGATTCGAATATATTTTTTAAGAAATTGACAGGAACACTTCAGTTCAATAACAGTTTGAAAGTTATGTAAATACTCATTGTTTTAATCGCTATGTAGAATTTACTGAAGGGGAGGGAGCAAAATATACATCATTGTTATTTAGACAAATGATTTAATGTTAATGATGTAATTGTTCATCAT